GTGGTGCCGCGCGGTGCATCCTCGGAGTGTGAGGTGTGCATGTGCTTTTTTCTACGCGCCAGTGGGCGACTTCTGGGAGGGTGAGTTCCGGTGGCACCCCATGGACGTAGACGGCGAGCCTGACATCCTGGAGGTGCAGCTCTGCGAGCTTCCACGCGCTAAGCTCTTGTAAGTGAATGAAGGCCTGCTCCAAGCCGTCACGTCCACCTCTTGCCTGAAAAAGATACCAAAGATGAGACCAGTTTCTATCATTGGTTTGGCAAAGTGTCTTGCCCCACCCCTCGCAAAAGTAGCTGTGCTATATACATGGGCTTGGGCAACAAAAGGCCACGAGACATGACAGTGTCAGACTGAGGCAGCAAAGGGATCTCCCAACAGCCCCTACAACTCCCCCCCTAAAAATCAAACCCAAAATCAATAGAAAAATCAAAACCAAAATCAATAACAAAATCAATAAACATATCAATCAAACACACACATATATTCAAACAGAGACTTTACTTCCAAATCAAAAAATCAATAGGCAAAATCAGTTGAAAAAACCTAGGAGAATATTGATTGTAATCACCGGCATTTTAAATCATCTACGCTGATGCCCACGATCGCCACAACCACATCGCCGGCATCAATGAACACCTTCGCCTCAGCGCGGCAGCTGACCCATTTTTCATTGATACACCTGCGCACTGCGGCCCACGTCCATCAGAGCTCGAGCCTTTGCTTTGCATCCACGAAATGCGGCACCCAGCACAGGCTCCTCGGCCCCACACCCCGCTGCACCTGCCGCAGTGCGTGTTGAGCCGCCAGGTTCAAGACCGCTGCATCCGCTATACCATGTTCAAGACCGGGCAGAGGCAGGGGTCCAGATTCTGAAAGAAGGGTTCACTCAACAGGGCAGCTTTCATTCGCCCAGTCCGTGCTAAAACGTCATTCAATGCGAACGGCCTGTGTGGACACAGGCGCGGCGAACAAAAGGCCTTTGGACACAGATGTGGTGAAGGATCTGCGGCCACAATCGAAAAGGTTCAATGCCTTCTCTGTGCTTGATCTCTTTCATATTCCAACTCATGGGTCGCAATCCTCATAGTCTTAATCGACCTCTTTTTTAGTCGAATGCAGCTGCGAAGCGCCTCCTTGCTCTCCTTCCTCTTTCGCTTCGGCTTCTTTCCCTTCTTGCGGTCCACAACAAAGTGGCCCGTTGGTCTCAAAGTCTGCACATTCAAATTCACACCACCCCGCCCTGCCAGTGCGTTTCGCAACAAAAGCACTTCCAAAAAGTTGTTTGGGGCGCCAAGCACGCCAAGGACCGCCACCAGGCACATTTGAAGTACAACCCTTCCGACCTTCCCAAAAAGCAGACTTCACACGCCAAAACGCAAGGATTCGACCGCGCCTGCCGTGAGAAGTCGCCACCATCTTTGAAAATGCGCACGGCACCACAACGAGAGCGCAGGACTCGAGCAATGCGCACCCTCTTGTGGCGGTTGCTTGTGCCAGGCTGCGAAGTTGAAATACATTTTACAGTATTTGAAGATCTCGAGAGGCATAAATGTGCTGTAACTGCAACTGGCAGCGAATGATATACCCACCTTAACACCTGCCGTAACAACCCCTAATCTGGTCACAGTGTTTGGGGAATCAACTGCAAACCAAACAACGCTGTCCTATCGTTCAAGTATGTCCACCAATGACCCGACCCCGCCGCACCCGCACCGCAACCCGATCGCGACGTCTCCAGTCCTTAGCCGCTTCGTCGGCCCAGAGTGCCGCCTGCTGCTGCACCAGATGCTCTGCCAGCACCTTGCGCGCCTCACTGGGCAGCTGCCGCGCAAGCTGGGCGTTGCGGAACAGAGGCTCCTCTGGTGAAGTGGGATGAAGTAGGTCTGGCTGCTCTTGATGCGTCTTGAAACCACGAAGGATAGGGGACTTTTGAAGTTCGGATGTGTCTCCTGAGCCTTTTCTAGCGACAAAAGTCGCGTTTGTCGCTGGTCGCTTCAAAGCAAGACATGTAGGCATCTGCCAATGTACCTCCCCCAATGCATGTGTCCAACATACGAAGCCGAACCTATGCCCAAAGCCCGGGATCCATGAAAGCACTGCTTCACACTCTCCAGGCAGCCTTTTCGGTGTGGAGTTCAACTCTCCCAGCTGCTTCGGGGGAGATGTTGAGAGTAAGGACCTCGGTACCTCAGTACTCAGTCAGTGAGTAGATCATGGGAAGCAATCAAAACCAATGCGAAACCCAGGGACCTCTCAAGTACAGCTCGGTGTGGAAAAGCTTCATGGCCACTGTCCCCCACCATCCCTCTCATTCTTCTCCGTGCTTGACTGCTTCTCTCCTCTCTGAGGTTGATGATGAAGAGCCGATGAAAGCTGCAATACCTTGGGCCGTGGACTCAGATGTTTCAGACCATCCCTTGGGCCGGTCTAATCGTGGATCCCAGGAGCTGGCTGGCCAAGCCGCTGACGTGCGGCTTGTCCTTTTGATTGAGCGACACGTAGAGCGCCCCAAAGGCAGGTACACCTACTAGATGGAAGGCCTGCCTCACGTCATTACAATTACAAGCAATGAAAAAGATCGAAGCGACTTGCAGGCTCTGTGCAGCCTGCAAGCTGCCTGCAAGTCAAATCTGCAAACTCATGCTATGCACACCCCAACAAGAACCCCAAAGAAAAACACGAAAGCAGGTCAGCACTATCTGATACAAAAAACATCCTATAACCTGTATCCACATGCTGAGTCGATGACACGCCCTTCCCTCACTCTTCCCTGTCCGTTTTGAGGTATGGCTTCCACAAGCAGGCATGATTCTCCAGCAGCCCGACGAATCTCTGACGGCCCGACGTGTCTGAAGATAAAGGCTGTTTGAACAAAAGCCTCCTGGACGCCTGGAGAACCCAACGTCTGTCACCTCCCTCACAAAGCCGGAGCGGGCCCGCACCTCTAATGGAAAGGGTTTCTGACTTCCGACGCCTGGAAGCGTCCGAAGCCCGAAACGCCATGGAAAGGGCCCTAAACACAGATCTGAAATGGGCTGAAGAAATGATGCCAAGGGGCTCTGAGATGAGTTGCTTCCAAAGCTCCAGCTGTTTGGCCCTCACCGAGGCATGCGGTTGTAAAGTGAAGAACGGAGGCAGCTGGTAGAAGGCCGGATATTGGAAGTCTTTGCCATCCTCAGCTGCTAAACTGGCTCCACTTGCTTTTGAAAGGTGTTTGGAGGATTTGGGAGGCATTTGTTTGCCCATCCACCTGGAAAGCTGCCACGAATCCAAAGCTCCAAAGAGGAGACATGTGCGACAAACGTGCACCGGATCGCGCGTTTCAACCACCAAATCTGCCGAGGCACGGCCATTCACCGCTCGCCCCCGGGAGCGATTCGGCGATCGAAGTCACGGGCGCAGCATGTGAGGCTGGGGAGCCGGCATATGCGGCATGACTCGGCATGACGTCACGGACACCTGCACAAATGGAGTCCAAAGAGCCAGGCACTCCTCCTTCATGGAGGCCGTGAGTTGACCGATCTATTCTACCTATGTCTGCCGTGCCAACAGGCAGACAAACGAAGCGGGGGATGAAACAGTCTCGAATGCACGATCCTTGGCGCAGTTCCTGGGCTTTTGGCATCTTCTGGGCTCCTTCCAGCCGTCCGCCCCAGATTCGTCCCTTGTATGGGGCCGACTAGTCCCTGGTCTGTGTCCAACGATTCCTGGAGCTTCCCCCCAAAAAAAGAAACGAGCTCCGGGGGGGGTGTTCATGTCAAACCGACTAAGGAAGCCAATGATTGGCTCCCAAAAACCAGATGTTCGGGGCCGAAGATCCAAGGGTTTGCTTCAAAAACCGCTTTGGTGTGGGGTCACTGTGCGACATAGCAACACCTCTGTACTATTAATTATAAGATAGCACATAATCATAATAATCGTTCAAGTACATTGCGGCACATGTTTTTGGTCACTTTTGGTACATCGTTTCTAAAGTTTGCCCCACACCCTCCGCAGGCGATCTCCATGCAACGGGACGGGGCTCGTTCAACGCGTGGAATCCCAACGCGTTCGCCGCGTGTTCCGCCGCGTTTTCCGCCGCGCCGCCGGTCCGGCGTTGCGAAGGCCTTTTCCGTCGTGGCCTTCTTGGCCCGACGGAGTGAGACGTCCGCGAGGTGAAGGCGAGGTGAAGGCGTCCTATGCGAATATAAAGCTTTAACATGGTAGGTAGGTAAGCTGTAAAATCAGGCGTAACAAATTGCCGTGAAGGGTTCTGCGCAACCCTACGCACGTCTTGAAGCAATATTGCGGTGGAGTTCTATTGAGCGCGCACAAAGCAGCAGCAAGCAAGATCCGCAACAGCAGAAGCCGCAACCAACAGCAGCAGCAAAGCAGCAGCGACGGGCGAGCAGCAGCAGCAGCAGTAGCACCACGCAGCAGCAGCGCAGCGCTAAGCTGCACCGCGAGGAAATCTGCACACTAATCTGCACTTATTTCACAACACCGCGCGCCTGCCACGAATCTGATAACCCCTACCACGAAATCAGAGCCTTGGAGGCCAGTGGGACACCATGGGTTTGAATCCCAAGCGGCTATTTGTCTTACAACAGCAGCACCAGCACCAGCAACGCAGCAGCGACTAGCAAGCAGCAGCAGCAACACCACGCAGCAGCAAGCTGCACCACCAGGAAATCTGCATTGACTTCACAACGCCACGCAACCTGCAACGAATCTGCGAGGGACTCCACCTACCACGAAATCAGCACTTATGCCACAAGCAATATGTAGCAAAGCAGCAAAGCATCGTCTTGATATATAGCAGAATTCCAGCATTCGGTGGGTCAGAACCCGAACGTTCGACTATCCCAGTTCGGTAATGCAGGTAGCTCGGGTCCTAGTTCAGGTCACTGGCTACCCCTGTAGGAACGTCTTGAATCACTGAAGAACTCGTTCTTCTCCGGACACTTCGCCACGTGCCGCACCACGTGCCGAGCCGTGCCAAGAGCCCGCCGAGCCGACCTGAAGGGCATGGAGTGCTGCAAGGGCGAAGGAGCGGCCCACCTACATGTTCGGCAGCTTCCACCTTTTCATGGTGATGTCAATAAGTGAATTCGCCACTACCATGGAACAGCAGCCTCTCTTGAAGTTTGCCCAAGGCAAGTTTGACAGCTGAGCGAAGGGTCTTCCAGAGCTCCCCGCCCCCGCTCGGCGGCTGAATCAGATGAAAGAGATTCTGCAGCTGGTGGCGGGTGAGTGGTCGAGAAACATACGTTCTTTTGCTTTCCTCTGCATAGTGCGGACCGGTGGCTTCGGACGGAACTGTTCTTCTAGGGGTCTTACACAAGGGTTGGAATCCCAAACACTCCATGTACAGTATGCCATATATGCCGCCCAATTGACCCCTCTGGCACCACCCCTGGCCGTTTCTCGGCAGTCACTGGCAGTCCCAAACACGTTAGACCCCTCCATGGGACTGCCAGGACGGACTGCCGATCAGGCCAGGGGTGGTGCCAGAGCGGCAAGAGGTACAAGAGAACAAACATAATATCATCCGTTCTATCATTAAAAGCTATATGAGATTGAAAAGGAAAAATGATCTCTTATTTATTCTATCTTGCTATTTTCTTTGTTGCAATCTCTTCAATGAAGTAGGAACCTCCCAGATTAAATAGCAAAATAGAGTAAGATAATAAAAAATAGAAGAGATAGATGGACAAATGTGGGAGGTCAGTTATTTTATCTTATATTTCATTACTAAGATATTTCTATTTTATTTTGTATTATTGCTTTATTCTAGCATTTTTATCCACAGCGTTTATTGTGCTCATTTATCCTAAAGTTTTAATGAGGTTTATCGATATCTTACATTTAATTGATTTTACATGAGGGAGTGCTCCTAAAGGAATAAAAGGAAATGGAAATGAAATTCAATCTCTGTCATACATCTTTTGTATTGCTTATTCCCTTGGGATCCACTAAATGGAATGGAGACTACAATGAATAACATATCATCCACAATGAATAAATATACATGAAAGCCTAGCAATATAATCCCCATCTTTTATGTTTCGTGTCTTAATGAAATTGAATAAGAAGTCCCAGCTCATTTGGTGATTACTTGGTAGATCCAAAAAGCATAAGTTGTTAATACGAGATCATGTATGTACACTCTCTCTCTCTGTGTATCATTCACATTTAATACTTATTGGTATTATTCTTACCTTTTCACCAATGCATTTCTTGGGATTTAATGTAATGCCAAGAAGAATCCCATCCTTTCCAGATTCTTTTCATTCCTGGAATTCCCTGTCATCTATTGGATCAGGAATAACTTTCCTATCTTTCATTATATGGTTCATAGATAATCCTATATTTAATAATAGATGAGATTGCTAAGATTGTAATGATTCCATACATGGAGTGTATGGGATACTCCAAGCGTCATGAATCCGAAGGACACCACTAGTGACTAGTGGTCACTACTGCACCATCTACGTTTGTCAGCTTTCCAAACATGGCTGTGAGCACTGCTGATGGGCTTTGGGGCTTCCGGGCTTCGGGTGGCTGTTCCCGCCGGCGCTCAGCCATCTTCCGACGCCGACGCCTCTGCCACAGCATCAGTGATTGTGTCCTGCCAGCGAGGCGTCTGGCTCAACCACAACTGCTGAGGAGCAACCCTACACAGCTCATGTCCGCCCTACATGTCCTTGTTCATTCTATAGAGCTTACAGCATATCTAGCACTACTTTTCCCGCCCCAACCCACTTCCTTCCAAAGCCCCACATGGGCTCCAGGTGCTTTGGAACTGCCTCTCCCAAGAGTCCTCGTCCGTGGTCACGTAGTGCTGATCCAACAAGTCCAGACCCTTGACCTTTTGACCTCAAAGAGCGGAGTCCCCGCCTCGTGTTCCAAAAAGAATCGAGACGAGTTGTGGAATCTCGAGAGGTTCAACATAGACTCAATTGACCCAATGAATCCCATCAAGATGATGACTCATAGACTATAGCATACTATAGCCCTATGATCCATATACAGGTCGTGGTGGAACACCGCCAAGAGCCGTGGGCTGTGTGCTCTTGTCCACACGGAAGGCTTCGACGCTTCAACCCAGCGGGCCGCGGGAGACCCAAGGAGAGCGGACCTCGCATCTGCGTCGGCGACACGGCGTCGGCGGACAAGCACAACACGCACAACACACGCAGCTTTCGTCCCAGAAGCAGAACAAGCCCCCCGTGGTTTCGTACAGGACATGCCCCGTGGTTTCAACCGGCTCATGTCGAGTCTAGTCACACCAACGGTGGACTGGTCCACCTGGTCCGGATCCGGGTCCGAGCCCCGGACCTGCCGCTGCAGGCATGAAGGTGTCCTTTCGCCCGAGGATCGCCGCGGAGACGACGGCCGGCTTCGCCGGCCGAGCGCGGAGACGACCCGTGGATTGAAAGGTCTGGGGACCCGAGCCTGCCGGCGAAGTAGACATCCAAACCAATCTACAACACATGACTTGCAACGTGTAACTTGACTTGCAACGTGAAAAAGAAAACTGGCCCTTAGGCAAAACAACTCAGCAGGGGGAGAAGCCACCTGTCGTGACTGAAGCTACGAGTACACTGGATATGACTGGATAACCAGGCAAAAGGCTTCAACTTCTTGCAGGAAACACTACAAAAGTCAGTCACTGGCTTAATGGTGAAGACTTTCCCGCGGGCTGCTGTATATGACATCTTTGGCTTCAGCAGCCTTAAAATCGACCAACTTCTGACTTGACCTTGACCTTCCACCTCAGGGGCGCTCCCCACCTGCTCCAAGCACACCGACCGGAAGCTGCCCTGTGTCAGCTGCGCCAGCCCCTGCAAAACCCTGGGCACGGTCGCAGAGGTCTCGAGACCCGGACGGAGCGAAGAAAAGGGGGACCATATCTATATACCATATCTATCCCTAGGGCTCCAAGTACCTTCTGAGAAGGTGTTTGGGGTGGGTTTAGAGGGTCCAAATACCTTCTGAGGAGGTACTTGGAGCCCTAGGGTATACCAAGTCGGACCTCTTGGGGTTGTAAATCAATGGTGCTTGGAAATGGATACCCTACACCTCCAGTCGTACCTCCTCAGAAGGTGTTTGGACCCGAACATGGCACCCACCCCAGTCCCACCTTCGAAACGAAGGTACGACAGGAGCCCTGGGGTATACCATGAATGCCTATGCATTGAACCCCTTAACATCCCCTAACCCCAAAAATATGGCCAACATACCAGGACCCTGTCGGGGTGTCTAATTATCGCCCCTTAGCCGTTAAGGGTTGTCCATTAACCACCCCTTGAAGGCCCTGGTATGGCATACAAACAAGGAGTGTTGGGGCATTTTTCCAGCAATCCAAGGTCATGGCATAGAAGAGAATGCCCCGTGGGGCAACGAAGGCCAGCGCATCAGCCAAACGATGTCCAGCAGATGCCAGGCATTTCGCGGAACATGTGAGAAAGTGGGCATGGCCAGCAAAAATGCCGCACTCGACCTGATGCATTTACCCACCACACTGACCACGATGTCGTGTTCTTCCAACACCTTTCTGCTGGCAAAAATGGGCCCAACTCTAGTGACTAGTGTGCCCAGGAGAGGCTGGTGGGTTCAATGGGTCTTTAGGAGATCAGATCCGGTGGATTCTGTATAACTCAGTCTATATACGGCATATAATGATATATATACTGTATATATATGTATATATATTGTAGAAATTCTATGTTGCCCCTCTCTCTCTCCTTCCACTCACCCAACTAGTGCAGTAGCATGCTCTTTCATGGGACGGAGATGGAAGTTGATCAGCCAAATAGCCAGATCCACATGAGCCATGCCCCTAATTAGCCACGAAAGCCATGGCGGCTCCATGCCCCATCCTTCGCGTCTGACGGGACGCTCTCAGCGCCCCGCCTTTGCTTCGTCCTACCAGGTACGCAGTTGATGCCCACCTGAAAGGCGACCGACCGCGCGGGGGTTGAAGCCGGGTTGAAGACCGAAGACGAAGACCACGCCACCAGGTTGACGGGGAAGAGATTCATGTAACTGTTTTTCACGTGGGACCCATATGGGTGGGCAAACAACTGTTACACATTGGTGACATGTTCCGACTTCAACCATGCCCATTATGGAGACTGGCGACTTCAAAGCCAACACCTGCAGTCCATGATCCCTGGGACCCGAACGTCGACCACCGAGGGTCAAAGCTTGACCGACAAATACCATCGACCTGGGTGTTGTAGTGTCAAATCCTTAGGACCAACTCATATATGCAAAGCAGTTCCAACGGGGACCTGAGTCGTTGACTTCTTTTCTTTACAAATGGCACGTGAATAATACTATATAAGTATATAAGTGTTTTCAAAATTCAATTCTACGTGGCCCTCAAATTGTACTAAAAGTTTATGGACACTGATTTTCAGCTGCTTCCTTTCCTTTCATTTCCTTTCATGTCCTGTCCTTTCCTTTTATGTTCCTTTCATTTCCTTTTCTGTCCTGTCATTTCCTTTCATTTTCCTTGTATGTCAAATTCAAAACAAGATTTTGTCTGGTATTTTTCTGGATTTTACATTGTTTAGGGCCCGCACTTGATCAAGGGGGGGGAGGGGTGGTTTATTATGCAAAGGTGAACATTGTTGAGGAATAAGGGTGCCCCTGTCACATCCACTCACTTAGGGGCTTAGGGGCGAAAAAACTATTTCTTTGGCAGCAGTTCAACTTGGGCCAAGAATCCTACGACCACATGACCACATGACCTCTGGCCCTCCCAACAGAAGTCGTGCCCCAAAAGGCCCGCGAGAAAACGCGAAGTCGTGCTTCCGAACATTGATACCAATACCTAGAACCTCTTCTTGGGCAGAAATGTCTGCCTATTTTGGGGTAGAGGCGTCTTTGTCCGTGCTTAGGCTTTCTTGCCCCCCCTGTAGACCTTCTTGGCTCCGCTAGGCGTTCTTGTCCTTTTTGGTGGCAATGGCAATGCTCAAAACGAGAAGGATCTACCCCCCACTGGCTCCGGGAACCATAAAGATACAGGACACTTGTTTAAATATTAGAAATGACTTAACTTGATGTTTCACTTTTGCATGCATTTAGAGTTTCTATGCTTGCAATTTCATTGCTTTAGTATGTTTTTGTGTAGGCATTCTTCCCGTCACTCAGGCCCCGTTACTTAGGCGTTCTTGCCTGTTACTTGGGCATTCTTACCGGTTCCCCTCACAACAAAGGAATGGTAGCCTCTTTGGGGGAGCAAGTGAAATGAGTTCCAAATACTATTGCATATTTTTATATACTTTACGCCGGGCACTAGTGTCAGGTTGCTTTCTCAAAAGTGTATCATTCAGATTATATATGATTATATATATATGGTTTTGCCTCCTGCATGTAAGAATGCACGTGATTGTGCCTCGGCGTTCTTGACCCTCGAAGCTGCAGTTTAGGCGTTCTTTGTGAAAACGGGCAGAATGTTCTGAATCCACTTCAGTTCTCCAGGGTTCTTTCATGGTCAGGGTCCTTTGGTAGACGTCTCCATCTTAGGTCACTTAAATTGCTGTTTGGTACATGTGGTTTGATTCATTAATAGGGTTCATCTTAGACTTCTGAGAAACGCGCCGCACAAGCGCAATTCGCTGAACAAGCGTTTGTTGATAATTTGTTCTTGGTTTTAATTCCTGCTCCCCATCCCCAACCCCTTTGTCAGCCAGCGGAATGCCATAACAGGCGCAGCACTCAGTTCAGTGGGGTCGGATGGGTTTCAACTTCAAAACATCAATTATTTCAAGTTGAAGTTTTGTAGACGTTGTAGGGTCAGTGTCAGACAATTAGAGCTTGGTACACTTGAGTTGCAGTCGGTGGGTAGGATGGGGGAAGGAAACAAACATAAACAAACACTAACAGTGTCCATGAACCAATGGTTGGTCGAAAAAACATCAAAATAGAATTGTTCACAGTTGACAGGTGCGTTGTTTTACAAATGTTGTTGTATGTCATCCTGATTAAGGTGTTCAGGTGGAACTTCTTTGACTTCAGTGACGGTCTGGGCCACGTGAGCTGCGGGGAAAACAGATTCCAACCAACCATCGAAAAGATGGGAAGCGCTGGACAAGCGCATTGGCTGCTGAAAAATGCAGCCTGGATTTGGAATCTGTTTTCCCATTGGGGAAATGTGTTGAAAGAGACACCTGGTATCTTTGGAAATCACTAGCCCTTTTGTGAAGGGTGAGTAGCTCGCTGAAAAAGCAACCGGGCGCTGGACAAGCGCCACCCTGGACATCTGGCTGTCAATGAGCGGGGAAGTGCCAACATCTGACTTGAAGATGGTGGCAATCTGCAGAAGCGACTGAATGAAGGTCTGGACCCGAGGATGGGCAAGATCCTCTGAAAATTGCCCTGCTGGTCCAACACTACAAGGCCCACGAGGTTGATGTAGCAGGCCAGCCCCTTCATACTGCCATCGTCGAACCAAAGGACTCCAATCTGATGTTTGGAATGGGCCTCCATGTCCATGTCGGGGTTGATCCGCAAGCTCAGAACTTCACCCTGTAAGGGCAGCG